CAAGCTTATTATCATTTGTCATACCAAGTGTTCAAAATACATTGTCATTGTGTATTATAATAATAATAATAAGATATGTGATCATGGGGAAATGCCAGTTGACTACCTCATATTGCCAGTTAAACATTTGATCACTTGCAAAAATCTGCAAGTAGAAAATCTTGCTAAATTCTAACCCTGAACCTTGAACTATCATTACATAATATATAATACAGTCAAACCATGAACTATCATTACATAATATACAATACAGTCAAACCTTGAATTATCATTTTTTTTTTTAAAAATTCAAAATAGTCAAACCAATTCTTAGGGTTGTAGTAAAGTTATGATTTTACCTTAATGTGAATTTGATTTGCCCTTACAACTTTTTTAAAACAGATTTCAATATCAAAATACAAAAATTTGAGCTACAAATGTACCACAAGCATAGCGCACACATCCCGGCCTGGCTCTATAATGGCAGCAAGGGCTAATCCTGTTAGATCAAGAAGGCTACTTTCTTACAAATACAATCAATTTTATCTGAAGCTTGCTCATTTCACCCCTCCCACTCTTTAAATGAATACACCCCCATTCTATTAATGAATCACAGGACATTTGCTCCCCCACCCACACTCATCAGTGAAAATGCAAATTTGGACAATTGCCCCCTCCCCCATATAATTGGAACTTCACTAGGTTGTAGTAAGAACATGACACTGAGGCAGTAATAAACAACTAAATGAGATGTTAGGAAATTCCTGTCTGTGGTAGTGTATTTGATTTAATTCACTAATTTCAAAATCTAATGAACTCTTTACCTTTCTTTATCAGACCCATCATGTTTGTCTCCCTATTTTAACTGATACACTTTGACATCTTGTGATTCACTAGTCACCAAGAGGCGATTTTCTTGTTTTATATACATTACAGAAATAGGGTTCCATATTCCATCTATGCTGCCTAAGATTTCTTCCATTGTGTTATTCTTTCTATCTACTAAAAATATATTGTGTGAGTCCCGACCACAAACAAAGTATTGACCATTTCTTCCCTCACAGACACAATAAGAATTCTGAAGTCTCTCGTGTGTAATCTTTGACAATTTCTTATTAATCATGTCAAAGACTGAGAGACCCTTTTCCCTGGTAGAAATCTACATGCAAGAGTTATAAGAACTGAAAGTTGCATGATAGATTCCCATATCATCTTCTCCATCAGACAGTAATATATGTGTTTCAATATGACAACCTTTCAGATCATAAACTGAAACACCAAATTTATAACTGTATTTGAAATAGTTCTTAATGTATTGCTTGTATCTCATTTTTTCAAACAAAAATAGTTTTTCCTTTGAAACTGATAAACCATCACAATATGCACAATTAAATGTCCATGGTGGATTTAATGGGTACCGCTTCTTCATATCATCCAAATTGCTATACATACTTAAAGACCGACTGATTAATAATGATTTTCCAACATAAACAAATGTAATTTCGTTTTGACTATCCAAAACAGCTATCTCAGTTAGTCCGACCTGGCATAAATGCCTGGCACCACTCAAATAACATTTATCTAACAAGTTATAAGTTTTATCAAGCCTAATGAGACTTCCATCTACAAGAATAATAATCTGGCCATTATCTAATATACAACTGTCTCTTCCTTTAACAGACACTTGCTTAACAAGTGATGCTTCAGGTACATGTATCTGAGAACAACTGGCTACTGTATGACCTATTTCCCTATCTCCATCACCTCTGACATTACCAAAAGCATCTATCTTACCTACAAAGGAAGCAATATCTTGATTGACTACAAAATCAATTTTGTCATACTCCCCTTTACCATTCTCATCAATGAAACTACTACTATTTACTTCTACCTCATGTGCTTTATTCAGAACTACAAACAGTTTAGCTTCATTGTCTCCCTTAAATGCATTGACCTTTTCAATATTGCTCTGAACAGCATTCAGTTTCACATCAATAGAGTCTATGTCAGTCTTTATAGCTCTTACGATTTTGTCATGTTTCTTCTGGACTTGTTGGACAGAATTTCGTTCCATCTCTTCCATTCTGGCAATGATCTGTTCCTTCATCTTGACAATTTCTTTCAAGTTTTCATCTTTTTCTTCACCCACATCTTTTATCTGCTGTAATTTTTTAGCTTTCATGGAGTTCAGCTGTTTCCGAATCCCTTCTAGCGATGTCTTTACATCATTTTTGTCCCGTCCATTCAAGATTTCTTTTGCCAGCTTTGGGATGAAGTCAGCACTCTTGCACAACCTTAAATGAAAGAATTATTTGATACAAAATTTTATGTAAACATTTGTGACAACTTACTCTATCACCGAATATACTTAAAAGTTTCTTAGGTTTAATATATACCATACATGTAGGTACCTATGGATAAAGGTACATGTAATTTCAAGGTAATTTGAAGAATGACAAAGTTTTTGGCTGGACATGATTTTTGTTAAGGAGATAGAGGCTAATATATAAGTATTGCTTCAATACTCAATTTATCAAACAAACTGAATAAAAAACAACTGACAAATCGTTGAAAACTTTATAAAATAAAAATTAAAATACAAAACTTGAGTAATAAAGAAATCAAAATATAATCAAAGTTAGAGCACACTTCTCATAACTTTTTACAGACTTTGTATCTAATTTGCCTGTACTAAAATATAACCATTTTACATAGTCAGAAATACATGTATAATAAATATATAACAAGAACTGTCGGAGGACAGTAAGGCTCGACTATTTGAAAAAGTTGTCACAAGGATGTTTTATTGAGTATACTAATGCTTACCTATGAATACATAAATTGACCGAAAAGGTTTGTTATTAAGATGTTTTATCAAGTAAATCAATGCTTTATTGTTATGAATGCATAAAATTGTCCCAAAAATAAGCTTACAAGCAAAACTTTACTACGAATTTCTAAGTTGAAGATATGTAAAACTTGCATGTAAACATTAACAAAGGGGAGATAAATCAACCTAAATGCAAGATAGAGTTATGGAATTTGGTCAGTGAAATACAATTGTGACCCTTCATGCATATGTGAAGTTTCAAATCAAATCTCTGATAGTGACTGAGATATGCAAAACTTACATGTAAACATTAACCAAGAGACTAAGTAAAAAAGGGGGAGATAAATCAGCCTAAATACATGACACAAGATAATAATTGAGATATTACACTTTACAAAAAACTTTAACCAAAATTTTTCAAGTTAAAAAGGGGAATAATTATAATTCTGTAAATATTGTAGGCAGAGTTATCCGATTTGTCAATCTGATGTACATTGTTACTATAAATAAGTATTGTAAGTTTCAATTGAGTATCCCAAGCAATAATTGAGATATTTGACTTTACAAAAACTTTAACCAACGCAGACGCGGACGCCGAGGGGCGACTACAATAGCTCTCATATTCTTCGAATAGTCGAGTTTAAAATTAAACGTTCACCTGTGATCAACAGCTATACAAACAGCACAACAGACAGTATCATGTTCTCTACAGTACATTTGAATTGGGTATCCTGCATGTTTATCGCATGCTAAACCGCTTTGAGATTGCTCAAACTGGAGCTTGCCTGATTTCACTCCAGATTTATTGTAGATTGTGTGAGTTTTGAAGCATTTGTTGTGGAATTGAACGCATACATGACAGAAGTAAGTCTGGCACTCAGCACAGAAATTCACACCGTCGATGTTTTTGCCATCATCAGAACAAGGTTTACATGCAAACTCATGAACGATGTCTGAAGATTCACTCACATCAGTACTTGGAGTGGCCATTCTTTTCCAAAACAGGACAAATTAAGACCGAAAATCTGAAAATTTAAATAAAATATATTAAAACCTTTTTGGTTAGATCTGAAATTGAATCTTCTAGAAATAAGTGTAATATATATAAGTATCATTTATTGTCGCAAAATATTATCTAATTTTGGACTGGAAAACAATTATATCAATAAAACGTAATAAAGCAGTTTTTGAAAAATCAACGTATATAATACGAGTATACACTACTACAGGGCGGCATTGAAATAAGCCGGTAATGTCTAATATACATGTATTATTGGTTAGTGTTATGTGTGTGGCTCCCCTTCCTGATCCGCACTATACATAATGTCCTTTTTTTGCAAACCGTATGTCAAATTATTTTTACACATTATATAACGACCTGGTCAATGTCTTGATCATAAAATATGTTTTCCGCTATTTTTACAACGTTTAAAAACTGCCTAAAATATCATAATTTCATTGGTAATCACAGACGGTTGCCAATTGCGATACGCTCCTGTATTAATATATTTTTAATATTTAAACACGAATGGGATCTGTTACAACCATAAAACTGGTTTTCAAACAATTTATTCATACAGTTTATGAAAAACAATGCCGTTTACCTAGCTAAAGACACTTCAGTAATCAGGTTTTATAATACTGCGCTAGACTTGCACAACGTCAAAATAAAAGCGACATATATTTAAAAGTTATGGAAGCCAGAACTACCGTTTACCATCAAGTCTCAATACATTTAATAAGATTGCAAAATATGAATAAATTATAAACATTAATATGAATTAACATGAAATAAATATGAATTAACATTCATTTAAACGTGAACGGTCACGTTAAAGATATTTGCATTATGATAACAAAATATAATGATGTCCGAAAATTACATCCTATCTGATAAATGATCACCACACTTAAAGCACCAAAATTCAAGAAAATCTTAATAACACTTCTTTCAATACGATCTACGTGGAGATTGTTTATGAAACAAACATTAAATACAGTGAAATTGCCATGAAATGTCTGTGGTTAATGCGTGTCAAGTCAAATTCGAAATCGAAAGTAGAAACCTTTTGAGACTGTTATTTTCTTCAGTTATGATTAATTATTATCAATAAACATTATGAAAAGTGATAACAATATTTAGATAAGCTCTAACGGAAGACGAAAATAAAATATCAAATAATTTACACACCTTTTGAATTTGAAGAACGTTAAAGCTGTTGGCCAAAGGGGACGTAACTGTTCTCACCGGAGGTCAGATCAACTCGTGCCCTCGTCAACTCGTCCCGTGGTTAACTCGTCCCATCATCAACTCGTCCCGTATTTTGGAGCAATTCAACCTGAACCTGTTTTCTCGTCACCTTTTTTGGTCAAGTTATAACTATTAGATAATTTTACAGATTATCACACAATAACACTGATCCAGGTTATATACCCGAGTGCTGTTTAATACAAAATAATCAACGGATCTCTAAAAGATTCTTCTACTTCTACTTCTATGTTGATCTCGTCTGTAAATCCGCTGTGCAGACATCAGCGACGAGTGGTGATGTGAAATGTGCTCCATTAAAAACGTGGGCTAAAAACCTGTCCCCCATGTGCGGCACCAGGCGTTCGAGTTAAAATAATGTGAAAACGTAGTGTGAAGTAAAATCCAACATGTTTGTACACTATACACGATTTTAATAATTTACACATATACGTATGACTGGACAGCAGTTTTAAAACTGTCCAGATTGTCCACAGTTGTGATGTTAGTTGGTAAGTTGTTCCAATAAGGTACAGTTCTTGGAAAGAATGAATGTTTGTACGCATTAAGTCTGCAGTGATAAGTGACGAACTTTACCGAGTTTGTGTATCTTGTAGATAGTTGTGGGTGGTATTCAACTGGTACAGCCACCAGGTTATTAAACACTTTATACATAAGAATTAAGTCCGCACACTGACGACGTTGTTCAAGTGTTGGCCATTTTAGGTCGTGTAGCATTGATGTTACGCTAGATGGATTGTTACGATTGAATGGTTTATTCATGACGAATCTTGCTGCGTTCCGTTGTATTTGTTCAAGTTTCTTTGATGTATTAAGTTGTTGGGGATTCCAAATTGGTGACGCATATTCCAGTTTAGGTCGAACCAAAGTTTGATAAGCTCTTTCCTTTACTGTGGTCGGGCAATGTTTTAAGTTCCGTTTGATGAAACCAAGAGTACTAGAAGCTTTTGCTGTGATTGAATCGATGTGTAGGTTGTATTTCATAGTATCTGCTAGTTCAACTCCCAGATATGGATGGTTTTTAACAACATGTAGTGATTGATTTTTCATTTTGTAGTCAAATACAGATTTGTTACGTTTATTTGTTATTGACATGGTTGCACATTTATCGACGTTAAATTCCATTTGCCAGATATTACTTCAATCAACTAAGGTGTCCAGGTCTTTTTGTAAAATATTATGATCTTCACTGGTGAGTATGGGTCTATAAATTACACAATCGTCAGCAAATAGGCGAATTGATGACTTAATATCCGAGGCGATGTCGTTAATATATAGTAAAAACAATGCAGGACCAAGCACGGTTCCCTGGGGCACGCCAGATGTTACCAGTGACGGTCTTGATGATTCTCCGTCTACTACTACTCGTTGATAACGACCGTTAAGGAATTCATTAATCCATAAGTTGGTTTCATTACATATACAATAATATTGCATTTTCACAGAGGGACGCTGATGTGACACTTTATCGAAAGCCTTAGAAAAGTCAAGCACCGCCATATCAACCTGGTGACCAAGATTAACACTACGAGCAATGTCATCTGTAGTTAATAGAAGTTGAGATTCACACGAGCGTTTAGCCCTGAACCCATGTTGGTTTTCATGAAGAATGTTCTGGCTGTCTAAATGATTCATTACTTGCGAAACTATTATGTGTTCAATCATTTTAGAAACAACTGCGGTTAAGCTTACAGGGCGGTAGTTCGATGGTTTGGTTCTGTCGCCTTTTTTGAAAATTGGTACAATGTTAGCGTTTTTCCAGTCCAATGGTACTTCAGATTTATCAATTGACTGTTGGAATAAAGACCGTATGATTGGTGCTATTTCAGTTACACATTCTTTCAAGACTATGATAGGTATTTTATCTGGCCCAGAAGCTTTCTTGGGATTAAGTCTGTTAATACACTTAACAACGCCATTTAATGTAACGTTTATCTTGGGCATCGAGCGGTATGGCGAAGATCCTTTATTTGGTAGATTGTCCAAAGATTCTTTCGTAAATACTGAACAAAATTGGTTGTTAAGCATTTCTGCCTTATGACTAGCGGATTCGGCGATTTGACCGTTGTTTTTCAATGTTCCAATGTTCACGCTGTCTTGTTTACGAGACTTTATATATTTCCAAAAGGATTTCGAAGATTTATCATTTTCTGGATCTAGAAGATTACTAATGTATTTGTAGTAGGAAGTATGTAATTTATTCCTTACAGTTTTGCGAAGGTCACTAAATTTTTTATAGTCACTTGCGTTATTACTTTTTCTTGCAATGTTATATAAGTAGCGTTTTTTCTTAATAAGCCGTTTGATATTCTTTGATAACCACGGTATGTCCGATTTCCCTTTTACAGTTTTCTTTGGTATATATTGTTCCATTGATTCTAATAATATTTGTTTAAAATTGTTCCAGTTTACATCAACTGTGTTGTTATGTATATTACGCAGAAACTCGTGTTGAAATGATAGCACACGATCTTTAATTTTCCGCCAGTCCGCTTTTCTATAATTAAACACGGTTCTCGGCGGTAGTTTGTTAATAACCGGCTTGATAAATGTTGTTACAGATAAGATATCATGGTCACTAAGCCCAATAGGTGGTCCGACTACGTGTCGTTGTATGAGTGTTGGATGGCTCGTAAAGAATAAGTCTAAAATCCTACCCTTACGTGTAGGGGTTCTGTTAATTTGTTCAATAAAACAACTTGAAGTTATATCGATTAATTTATCACAAAAAGTCTTATCCCTAGCATTTGGCAATGTACATCCGTTATCCCAGTCCACGTCTCCGAGGTTGAAATCACCCCCTAGAAATTTCTTCATATTTTTGTATGGAGAAGTACAGTTCGCTTTTAATAGTGAATTTTCAAGTTCATCTAATGTTTCTAAAGTAGCCTTTGGTTCACGGTAGAAAGATCCAACTAAAACTTGTTCGTTTTTATCGATTTTGATTTTAATCCATTTTATTTCACAGGCAGAGTCTAAATCTGAACATTCCTCAGCTTGTAAGCCAGGTCTAACCATTATAATAACACCACCGCCGCGTTTGTTCACTAATTCTGACCGATCTTTCCTGAATATTTGATATTTGTCAATAGACGGGATATTTGTTGGTAAGAGTTCAGCACTCAGATCCTCACTATTCAAATGCGTTTCAGTGCCTAAGATAACATCCGGCGCTTTACTAGCTATAATGTTGTATAACTCCGTTTTCTTATTACGAATACTCTGGAAATTTATCACTTCGAATTTCAAGTGAGACTTATTAACGTGGAGTGATTTAGAAAGTGAACGAATACTATCCACAGATGGGTTATCACTACTTGATTCCATGTCACCCAAAAATGATGATGTAAGCTCAGATTCAACACTACCGGAATGTGTTGATGTTACGTTAGAAATATGTGAAATACTTACTTACTTACTTATATTAAGTACGCTACTGCCGAGTAAACATGCCAAAATCAGCTATTTAATTTAATTTGATAACACAGAGCAAATTATAAAGTTATGTTGTAACGCAATGCGGTCCATGCTCTAATAAAAACGTTACTAGATATTAATATGTCCATGTTCTTCTTTTCTTTTTTTTAAATATTATCTCTGTGAGGGATAAACTTTTTATGTAAAGCCACCCTCTTATACAAGACATAAACAAATTATCTTTTAAATTCTCAGCACACTCGATTTTTACAATCTTAAACTTTTGATATACTGTACCGCGAACTGTCAATTAGTCAACATTGTTTTTTCAATTTTCTCCACTGTTCATAATTGATTGACTTTGGGCATACAATTTTGCTAAAAAAATCGTCACCTTTTAAAGATTTTTCATGACACATGTGTACCAACGATCACAAAACACACTTTGTATTTGTATCAGGATATATGATATCTATAAGGCACGGGGTACTTATCAATTACCAGGGTGAATAAAAACTCCCTGTGCCTAAAATCAAATTATAGTTTTATATGAAAAACCTGTCGCTCGTATGTTTAATATCAAAATTTAAATTGGAAAATAATTTTTGTATCATTATAAATATAAAATATATAACACGTGTACATTGACATGATGTAATAAATGTTTTATTTGCGATTCTTATTAATTTACATATTTTAGTAACATGCATATCAACTGATCATTAAAGTGCATTACTTTAATTTATCGCATGGTTTGGAACTTTTCCTTTGTTCTTATAACCCATTATACTCAGTACACTTCAATGAGCATTTCAAAACTGTAATGATATATAACAGTACAGTTTTTTCATTGATTCATATAGGAAAAAAACTCGACTGTTATATATCGGTCGAGATTTTTTCGCACCTTGTATATATCAATACAGTTTTTTCATAGAGGCTCCAATGGGACAGTGGAAACGACCATTCCCAGTAGCAAAAAAACATAAAATAAAAAAATGAAATCAATAACATAAAATGAAATAAATATATAAATCCAATGAAAAATATAAACAAAGATAATTAATGAAATGAAATTTACTCTCATTTAATCAAAAGGTACATCCGCTGAATGAATTATTTCCACTGAAAAAAGCCCTTTAATCTTAAATCAATCTTGGTAACAGTATAAAATCCGCCTCTTATATTGGATGTCTTTTGTTTATTTTTTTCGCGACAGCTGGAAAAACTGCCTGACGATAAATAACTGTAAAATTTGTTGTATGTAACGATGAACTGTAAATGTTCAAGTTAGATTCAAATAAAATTTCTGTTCTGTTCTGTTCTGTTCTGTTCTGTAATGTAGCTAACGATTAATTTATTTATTTGTTTCTATTACAAAAAAAGAAAACGTTATGCCATTGCGATAAAACAGTTATAGTACACGAAACGAATTAGTTACGGGGGTATAACACTGGCTGGGGCGACATCTCGGGATGTTTCTGCAAAAAAAATTGTCTCGGCCTAACGGCCTCGCAATTTTTTTTAGCAGAAACACCCCTTGATGCCGCCCCAGCCAGTGTTATACCCTCGTAACTAACTCGTTTCATGTACTA